GGATAATAAGGTTTGTATATGAGTTAAACATGCCATTGAACTTAGACGCGTCTTACTAAATAATCAGTAATTTTTTTTTATTTTTTTTTTTAAAAAGAAGAAGTCAAAAATGGTGGCTGAACGTACATAATAAATACATTAAAATATGATTATAAGTGTGTACGCGAAAGTTGCAAGCATGTGAATTGAAACCCACAAGATAGTAGTAAAATACAGTGTTATTTCATAGATGTTGAGGCAGGTTAGTAGGTAGGTATGCCTTAATTTATTTTATTTTATTTTATTTTATTTTTTTCGGAATGATAGATGTTTTATAAAACGCACAGATTGCAAAAAAAAAAAATCAATCAAATGCTGAAAGATACAACTGACGGTTGAATAGACTGGGAGCAGACTTGAAGATCGCCTAGCGGGCCTATAGCAACGCTAGAAAACACAAACACAACACTACAAAACAAAAACGACCACTAACTCTCAAACAAGAGACTAGCCGATCCCAAAATGATAATATTGGCCCAGTGAGAATCGATCCCAAAAAAAATAATAATCGTTCTCACTCGAATGAAAAGAGAGGCCTAAAGTCCAAACAAAAAACACAGACTTACAAAACAGACTTAAACATAACAAACACTACACGAAACAAAACAAAACGAAACAAAATGCAGTGTTATTTCGTAGATGTTGAGGCAGGTTAGTAGGTAGGTATGCCTTAATTTATTCTTTTGCGCATATTGTCATCAAATTGTGGTAATTGCTTTCGAAGAATTCTACCTAAACTATGCATATTAATTTATTGATAACTAGTACAACACCCGTGTATTATATGAGTGCTTGCTAATTTTTTTCTTAAAATCTAAAATTAATGAGAAAAAGTAGTTTAAAAATTTAAATACCTTTTATAAGAATATATATATTGTTATATATTTATTATGACACTTTTTATTTGTGCAACTTACTTGTGTTATATTATACTAATTTTTTTTTAACTTACAATATATAAATACATTACATATAAATATAGCAATTGAGAAATAATTTTATTTTTCTAATGAATTTTAATAATTATTATTATTTTTTATTATTATAAAGATAAATATAATTTATTTATTTCATATATACAATATGGATGTCAAATCGAAGATCATCAAAAGATGATTAATTTGATATATTATATATGTAAAACCGATAAGAAATACAAAAGTTATCAACTTTTAAAATATATTTATAATTCAATAGTTTATTAAAGGAAACAGATCAAAATTCAGGGATATATTAGTCACTTAGTGTCTCGCTATGTAAAATTACAAAGAATTAAAGGGTTATATTAGTAAAAGTGATATTAAAATACATAAGTTAGCTAAATAATATTTATGGAATACTCGAACCTACATTAATAATTATTAATATATCAATATTATGTATCCAAACCTAATTACGAAGCATGATTCTTCGCCAAATAGGATTTCGAAGCACCAGAAGCAGCCACGTAGGCTCAGCGCATTCGGGAATTATATATAAGGAGGATATGATGCCTAAGTTTGTATTCATTTGCATGCCATTTTGATATCTGAATTTGGTACTTATACACTATACACATTTTACGTAATTATGAAATAATTCAATCAGAAAAATATACAATTTTTAAATGGATCTATCTACAGTTTCTATACGTGACTTCTATATCTGACTCTTTTTTTTCAATGTACTTGAAAAAAAAAGCCTTGTTGAAATGTGGAATTCAAGAGTCTTCACATATCTTACTTTAAAAAAAAGCCTAGTTGAAATGTGAAATTCAATAGTGTTCACATAAATTAGTGGGACCAAAAATGTCGATATAATTGAAAAAAAAACCAAATTGCATTAAAATATGCTAATGAAAAACAAAAGAATTAAATAGGATAACGTCTGATGTTACATTTTTTCTGCTACCTGTTTCGAAATTTTCGTACTAAAATTATAATAAAAAGTCTATAGAAAAAAATAGACCTGGCCGTCTGAAAAGAAGGAGCTCAATAACTTCGGCAAAATTTTAAAAATGGTTAATTATGTTGGTTATTTTCTGAAAAAGATCCATCATATAGGGTGTCATCAATAATAGTCCACTAAATTATCACTTTTAATGAAAACTCGTACAATTGTCAACATAGTGTACTAAAAGTTATAAAAACTCGTACAATTGTCAACATAGTGTACTAAAAGTTATAACTTTTAGTACACTATGTTGACAATTGTACGAGTTTTGATTAAAAGTGACAACTTAGTGGACCATTATTGATGACACCCTATATGATGGATCTTTTTCAAAAAATGGTCAACATAGTAGACTAAAAATGAAATTTAACCCAATAACTCCCTCTAGAGGGGCCACCGGACAAGAGAAA